CGTAACTGAATCCTTTCTCGACATTCAAGCTCGAGGCTAGAAGTGCCGCAATGTCCAGTTCCGTGCCGAGTAAGCATGAGTGGTCGGTCTTGAAAGCCGATTGTATTTATTCTAGAGTTCTAAAACACAGCGCACGTATTCCGCAAACTCATTTCCCGAAGTCTTGGAAGTTTCAGAGAAACGTGAAAGAAACGACGGAGGAGACAAATGTCTGCCAATTGAAGTCCCTCGAAAGTTCGAGTTTTAGCGTGAGGTTCAGAATGGGTGCTTATCATGGAAAGAACTATAATCGCCGTTAGACCACGTCTCGTGCGGCAGGCTCTGAGCTGAAGCGCTCTGTGTTACACCGACCTTTGAATGTAAGCATGCAATTAAGAACTGCTCGGGGTTGCTGCGACTTGACTCGACGTCTCAAAATCGAGCATAGCGTTTACTTCGACGCCGAAATCGCACAATTCGAGATTATTTAATCCCAAAAGAACTACCCTAACACATTGGCGTACCGACCGGGGGGCAAGAGGGGCGCTTGCCCCCCCCCCCCCCCCCCGCAAGTTCTCAGAGGGGGGGCGGGGGGGGGGGGGGGCAAGGCATGCGTTTTGTCCCCCCCCCCCCCCCCCCCCCCCCCCCCCTGAAAAGGCTGCCACTGGGCAGGGCAAACACTGGCCGGCGGCGCCCAAGGAATACCAAGGGCATCGCCCCACGACCCGCGCGGGCATATTTTTAACGCGCAGGCGATACATACCCTAGCAACGGCGCTCACGCCGGATTGGCTGGTTCATGAAGATAGGCACTGCCGCCGTCAACATAGGCAGCGGATGCAATGCGAGTTTCCGAAGCGGTAGCATAACTTAGTGGTAAGATGACTGCCTCATACGTATCAGGCCCGGTTCTATCCATGTTGTGGGCTTACCTCTTTCAATTTTTTTTTCTCGACCATTTTGTTTTGTCGAGGCATTTGGCGATATTTACATTTCTTTTTTTTTACGATTAACACTGAAACAAAACCAATGTTGTTGACGAAACATCGCTGAACTAAATCGTATGGGACTCTATTTACAGAAGTGCCTGGGGGACAGCGGAACTTAGGTTGTCGACGGTTGTCGACAACCTAAGCGGAGCTTAGGTTGTCGACTAGAAAAAACTATTAACCAACTTAGCCAAAGCCGACAACCTAAGCGGGGCTTAGGTTGTCGGCTTTGGCTAAGTGGGTTAATAGTTTTTTAATTAGCAGCCGCTCACTGTCGCCACAAAGCGGCGTTAACGCACGCGCGGGCGTGGTTTAACGCGCTTCGAGTGATACACGCGCCGTCCGAATCCGAAATTTAAGTTCCCGCGCCGTTGCCGAGCAGCCAATCCGGCGTGAGCGTCGTTGCTAGGGCGTCTATCGCCTGCGCCGTAAAAGGAGCCAGTGACCAAAGAGCCCGGTGCGCATACACAACTGGCCCTCTCCTCTGCCCCCCTTCCCGCCCCCCTCTTTTACAACGCCTAGACACACACACGCCGTAAAAGTTAGTGCCGGACCGAACCTGCCGAACTTGGAATTCGGAAAAGTTCCGCAAAAAATTTTGAAAAGAAAGTTCGGCAAAGATTCGGCAAAAATTTGGCAAATGTCTGCGCACGCGCTCGAAAGTGATGGGGTCATGGATCGCAAATGGACGCGGCGCATTAGCGCGGTTACCATCGTACAGTTTAGTACCACCAGCGGTTACGGCAAGGTCTGGAGTAGGCTACACGGTAACTGTGCGTTTGTGAGCTTTTGCGAGTGTGGTTCTCTTCAATATTTTCTGCGTCAAGAACAGCAGATCGACCAGTAATTTACGCCGTCCACTGCGCAAGTGACAAATGACGCCGTGCATTCTGGATAACGTGATTTTCATTTGACCTTTCCATTGATGCAATGAGGTAGTTGAAACATCGACTGACAACTGAGCATATCACGCGCAGTGTGCGCAGCCCACTGCCGTCAAACGGGGCAGAATCACGACAGCTTGCCCGAATGTACGGGATGCAGCTGGCATCCTCGACATAATGTGATACATGTTTTCCCCCCTCTTTTCTTTCCCTTTTACGTACTTTCTGTAGTGTGTATATTCTGCACATTTATTTCTCTGTCTTTTTATATGTGGTGGCGGGCTGGCAGCAGACATGTACGAGCTACTAAAAAAAATAATTAAGTTAAGTTCTGAGTATTATCCTCAAAAGTAATTTGAGTAGAGTAGAAATTACGGAAATGGAGAGTAAGTCAGTAAATTACTAATTACCGTAAAAAAGGAGCAAATTACTTTTGAAGTTGCTTTTATTTTTTCTATGCTAACAAGGAAGTACTTACATACGTTTTGATGCGTTAACGATATACTGCTAGCCGAATATAAAGCGGCTTGTGTTTTCACAGAAACACTTTAAAAGCTGGTTCTGCTTCTCCATGCCTAATTGTTGTGTACTTTTTGGTCAGGGATGTACTGCGGATGTATAATTTCACCTTTGAGGATAGCACTGCCTGAGCTTGATTTTGCAGACAGTGTTTGATTGCTTACAGTGTTGCGTAAAGTACGTCTAAACACTACTTGGAACTACAAAGTTCATTAGAGATTATGTACTTCAAGTAAAGTAGTAAGTACAACGGGTGCAATGTACCTGAGGTGAAGTACTATAAATACAATGTACTTCCAAAGTAAAGTAGAAGTACTTTTTAACACACTATTTCAGAATGCCCTTTCATTCCCTATACAGCGTTTTTTTCTTTTTTTAACTTGGCGGTCCCGGTATGCATTGCTTAGGGGAAATCGGAGGTGCACCAGTTTCTTTCAGAAAGAGCAACAAAATCCAAGGTGCATCAGTTTTTTTTTAAATAGCGGCGATTAATACGTTATAGAGTAATTGCTCTATTCTCGCTGACGAACCATTTAACACAATCAACTTATAAGGCACTTATTTGTATCGGTATTATAGCCGCCATTTCTTCACTCAGAGAAATGACCAGATGACGTCTCGGAAGACAGCTCAAGCTTTACAGGAGCACCAGATCAACTTCAGAGCGGGTGCTGCACTTTGTTACCTCCTTTGAGTGAGGATGTAGTGTGTATACCTCCTGTAGTGGGCGAAATTCCTACATTGTGGAGAAGCGGAGACAAGCCCTTTCTTCAAACGCGTCAAGTCTCCTTGAGCTTCGGGAGACAAAGAAACGCCAGTCTTCGGAGCTAATCCCACAGTTACTCGACCTCTCTTGCGTCGTGTCCTTTCGCTCCCCGCGCCTCATAGCAGTGTTGTTGCACTGGGGGGCTGGTTAAAATATTTTGAGGTTTTGGACTATCCAAATTGCTTTCTTCCTCCCCCCCTTTTCTACGCCACATGCTTCCCCCTCTGCAAATATCAGCTGGTCTTCTAACATCTTATCCCTCTTCATAGGCAAAACAGTCACTCGGAAAACTAGTTAAGGTAAACTACTAATTACCACAATAGAAATGTAATTGAAAGTTACTAAACTACCCAGAAAAGTAGTTAAACTACAGTAACTTAAGTAAAGTAGTTGAACTACGTACAAGTCTGACTGGCAGGCGCTGTGCGTAAGGGTTTTCACCTATCTGCCTAGCCCCGCACACCATCACATGGGCACCTTCCAGTATGTGCAAATAAAATTATTATTGTTATTATTATTATAACAATCCTGTTTTCGGCTCACAAGTAGTTTGTACTAAAACATAATAATATTGCTTTTTAGTTCGCGTTATTTCGCGATATTTATGTATCTGCATAAAACTATACACAGAACTATCATGCTCGACATTGCACATCCGACATTCCTAACTCTTCCCATCTTCGTGAATGTCCGTGTGTGTCCTAGCACCAGAAACCGAAATTTTAAAGGTTAAAAACGGCACGTTGCGAATATGGAACGCACACTTTCATCCAAAGCTGACGTCGAGTGACTCTAATCCAAAAACATGCATATTTACAATTTTGTTATCTCTTCTGGTGAAGGCTCAGTAACCGTTGCATTCGTTTTCGCGCATGAAACGGTGACTCCCAGAGAAAGTAAGAAAGCAGTGATTGGCCTTTATTTTAACAATTATAAACACACTTGCACGCCTGCGCTGATGAAGTCTCAAAATCAAAACTCTCGTAGCGTGATTCGTGACTGCGTCGGCTACCCAACCTCGTTGTCAAGCCACTTTCTACAAGCTAACACTAAAATTGCCAGTAAACACACAAAAGCGACATCGATACCATTATCTTGTAGAATAGCACCTTATTTAGTCATAACTGTGTCAATAGGCACTCCATGTTGTATTTATGTTAAGAAAAAAAAACTATTTTCTTTAGAAAAAAATAAATATCAATGTTAGGTCTGGTAACAGTGTATGTTTGCCAAATCATTGCCAAATATTTAGAAAAGTTCGGCAAAAGTTGCGCCGAATTTGCGATTCGGCAAAAGTTCGGCCATCACTAGTAAGAACATGCGACCCCGGGGGGGGAGGTCTGGTTTGCCCCCCCCCCCCCCTCCCTAACTCGAAAACAAGTTGGTACGCCACTGCTCTAAGACGAATCCGAGGGAAAGCATTTTGATTCGAAAGTTTGTTTCTGACTAAAAAAAGCGAGTGAATATTGCTGACGAATGGAGTAAGGGCTCTCATTAAGCGGATTCACGCACGCTTATGATCCTTTATTGAGCTTTTTATTACTCAAATGTCATCCAGCACAAACCATTATGTCTGCCCCCTTTCGTCTTATGGTGAGTTTGTCGTCATTTGATTTTGAAACCTCCCTACTGTCTGCGCTAAGGACAAATACAAAGTAAACGATGTTTTCATCTTTTATTTGAGGTTGACGATTTTTGTATTTGCGATTTGTTTTTGTAAAAGTAAACTTAAAAAAAAAGAAGAAAAACATTCGCCCAGCAATTGCGTTAGAGCCATACCAGCTATCGTTGTAATTTATTTCGCAGTCAGACTCACCTGTCAAGTCACTATGGTTTCTTATCTCGGCGGTTGCTTTCTTCACAGGTGGACCAAGTTCGGAAGAAGGGAGGGAACATGTTGTTCCTCAACACGGGGGACTACTACCAGGGCAGCCTGTGGTACTACCTGCTCGGCGCCGAGATCGTCGTCAAAGCCGTCAACTACCTCATGCACGACGCCATGGTCTGTATACTTCCTTATCGTGCCGAGAACGTGCGTTCTATCGCTGAAGCATTGCCGATTCGGGCGCCGAATTTCGCCTTGGTAGGCAAATTTAAAAACACTGAAAATAGTTGGGGCGTACAAAACGCAATACTCTCGTGTTCGAACAGCGCAAAGACGACAGGAAGATAGAAGAGAAGAGGACAGGACGAGCCCTGACTATCAATGGTCTCCAGGTGGCAAAGGTTACCACGCCTGGGTCAGCAAACTATAGCACGTGCTTTTTCTCCTTTTTCTCTTTTCTTTTCTTTTTTTCTTTTTCTTTTCTTTTTCTTTCTTTTCTTTTCTTTCTTTTGTTTTCTGGTTGCGCTTTCGGTTGAAGAAAGGTGACGCCTGCTGGCACAGGCCATTCCCGTGCAAAAAGCTGCCGCGCGTGTGTCTGATGAAAAAAAGTGCATTTTGGCACTCTCGAGTCTCGCGCACTTCATCCTCTTTTGAATAAATAGCATCAGTTGATAGTCAGCGCTCGTCCTGTCCTCTTCTCTTCTATCTTCCTGTCGTCTTTGCGCAGTTCGAACACTAAGTATGAACCAACTAGCCCACCGCAGTACCTTGTTGCAATACTCTCATGGACTACAAGCTATCGATGCCGAAACCACCGAGGAGCAATATAGCTTTGATTTTATTTTCATTTCATTTTATTACCTTGAAAGCTTCTAGAGGAAGCATTACATAAGGGGAATACATCAAAGTCGTATGTTTAATAATAAAATTGGGGAAAAAACGAAGGACACGAAGAAAAAAAATAACATCCTTATACAGACATTATTTACCAACTGAACAACCTCTGCATGAAAAAGTGGTAGTCACTTGTTACCACCAGGCTAGAGGGCAGGCTGTTCCAATCAGAAGTACATAGTAGAAGAGGCGAGTATTTGTAGGCGTTAGTTCCAGAAAACATGGCGTCAACATTACAAGGATGATCTAGGCGAGGTGAAATATCATGGGCCGGCAAAGAAAGGCTCTAGCCGACCATGTCTTATAATACAGTTTATGGATAAAAAAAGGCCGGTCAACGGACCTTTTCCGAGAAGCGTTCTGCGCACGCGTGAGCGCCCGATGCCAAGCGGCGAAAGTCGGCACGAAAAATCGAGGAAATTCGGAAGGAGGCTGTGGATCAGCGAGTAGAACACATAATTGCAGCACATATATAATTGTGTTACACAAATAAAGAAAGTGGACGGAAAGAGAAACACGACGTTTGGGTGGACGCCACCGATGCCCCTCTTTAAAGTCGCGTTGGGCACGCGCTGCAGCTCAGAAAGCGAAGAAACTGGTAGTAAAATATTCTGGCGGGCTAGGTGGTTATACATAGTAAATTACAAATAGCGCTAAAACAAGGACGGACGAAGAAGTGGACATGACGGTTTTAGATACAACGATAAAGAAGGTGAAAGAAGTGTCTGGTGTTGAAAAAAGAAGAAATAAGTCTATTTCTAGCCTTTTTATTTTGTTTTATTTTTAATATTTTCGTTTTTGTCTACTGTGCTTTAGTGTTTTTAGTCTAACAATCTTCTTAGAGCGCCCCGGCTAGAAATAGACTTATTTCTTTTGTTTTCAACACCAGACACTTCCTTCACCTTCTTCTTTATCGTTGTATATAAAACCGCCAGTTGTGAGTTAGCGCCTGTCCTGTCCACTTTTTCGTCTGTCCTTGTCTTAGTGCTATTTGTAATTTAGAAACTGGTACGTAGCTTCCATTATCGATATGTAGCGCAGGTAGCTCACTTCCTTGATTTTTAGTTGGTGCAACCACCGCCTGGTGCCGTCGGTATGTGGAAAAGGTCCATTCTTCTGCGAGAGTCGAAAGTTACGCTATTCCGGGAATAATCGCGAGTAGTAAAACGGGCCACACGGTTCTGGACTCGAGTTGATTAAAGAGGTATATTTGATAAAGGTTCGACATGATAAATGCGTATCCTAATTTAGTCCGCACCAACGTGGTAAAGGCTAAACGCTTGACATATGAGTCGGTGAGGTAGAAATGCTTTTTTAAAAATCCTGATGTTTTGTTAGCTTTTGGGGCTAGGGAACGTGACAATTTCCATATATATCTTCAGTGAGGTACACTCCTAAATACTTAAATGTGGCCGCTCGTTCGAGCTTGCGAGATTAAATAGTATACAAAAAACAGGCTTAATTTTTTTTTATTTTGAAAATAACTGTATTTTAAATTGATAATGGTTAATTTTCATGAGCCAAGAGTCACACCAAGTTTTTAATTTTACTAGATTACTCTGTAGGATAACGCAATCGTCAATGAAGGAATTTTTGCGTTGGAGGAAAAGGTCTTCAGCATCCAGTCTCACGAAGGAAGATAAAGTGCAATGGTCGTTTACGTAAACTAGACAAAGAAGAGGGCCAAGAAATGAACCCCGATGGACGTCAGAGACAAGAAAGCCCTAATCCAAGATAGAAGAATATTATTCACGTTTAAATGAAAAATATTGGATATTAATCTGCTATGAGGGACACGGTCAAAAGCTTTTGAAAGTCTATGAATATTGCATCAGTTTGATTCAAAGAGTGCGTATTACAATGAAGGTCGTAGGTGAGGTTGAATATTTGAGTTACGCGATATAGGATTTTACGGAATTCATGTTGATTAGGACACAACAGCTTGTTACTATCCAAATCTGACGTTATGTTGCTGAAAGCGATGTGCCCTAAAATTTTGCGTAATACACTAGTCGGTAAGATAGGCCTGAAATGAGCTCATTGAGATTACCTGATTTGAAGATGGCTACTACGTTCGAATTTAGCCAACCAGATGGCAGTTGAGAAAGGGCTAGACATTATTAAAAAAGTAAGGAGCAGAAATTTAGCGGATGTAAATTTCGTCAGTTTTAAACCTCTGAAGTCTGTTCCTTCCCAGCCAGGAGTACACTCTAAAAAAAAACCCGTGCGTCAGCTTTCCTACACAACACTCGGAGAGCCAATCAGCGCAACTTACTGAGGCAGCTCAGCGAATGACGATGCCGAACACATGTTGAGACCAAAAAACGCAGTGTGAGTTGTGACATTAAGCAATGAAAAACGTCACGCTTGCATTGCTTAATGTCACAACTCAGACTGCGTTTTTCTGCGGGGGAGTAGCAGCAGAGCTGAGAACAGCGCTCGGTGCAAGCGCTGAATCTCGGCGAAGCGAGCGATAAGAAACAGAGCCGTCACGCCAGCCGCGTCATGGCGCTAATAGCTCGCACCGGTCGACGTTCCGGCGTTTACCTTCATATCGCCGGCATGTGTACATAAGACAAGGAGATGCGAGATGGATCAAGAGTAAGCTAGATATAACAAAAATTGCAAAACGTTATCCCTAGCTGTCTGATACTTAAAGTTTAACCCGGGGTCACACTTTTTAGCCCAAAATCTCCAAACATACACTACAGAGCCATGGATCTGCACTTTAAAAAGGCGTATATTCTTACACTTTTGTCCCATGTAATACATTCCAACACATCAGTTCAACCTTCAGCGCACTGACGTTGAACGGACGGTACCAACTTTCACGAGTACTTTGATAGCTGAGTTGTACAACTTAGTAGAATAGCTCAGTTACTTGTTACTTACTCCAACAAAAAAAATTACTTGTTACTTACTCCTACTGCGAAACCTGTGTTTTTTTCCTGTAGTCTTTGATACGTACTTTAGCTTTTTAATATGTTATATTGTCACGAATGACAATTGGTGAGGTGACGATTGATTAACGGAAACTAAACGTTTAATGGGACGAACTTGTGCCCAGAACAAAACAGAAAAAAAAGGCTAGCGCCGAAGGCGTCCGTGGCGGCGTGATCGAGCGCAAGAGCGAGACTGACTCGACAAGGTCTCGGGCAGCTCCTTATCTAGTGTGCGCCCCCATCTTGAAAATTTGACCCTGAAGGTTCGAGCGTTGCGCGTTCGGGGTGAGAATAAACAGCCATTTCCGAGAAGAAGAAAGAAGGACGAAATGATAAAAGTTACGTCCCGACTAAGAATAAATGCAAATCTTCTAGAAGTCTGTGACCAAGCGTTGCTTGCTCGGCCCTGCGCGCAACTTTATTCCTCCCTTAAAAAAAAAAAAATTGTGGAGCCCATTTACTTCGCGTGAAGATGGAGGACGAGCGAAGCTGTTATCTTTACGACAAATTTACGACAACTTTACGACATCTATACGATTTACATATGATTCCAATGACGACACGTACACAATTTTGTCCTTATTTAATTTTTAGTGACTAAAGTGATCATTGGCTTATGGCCACTCATAGACAAGCCTGCGCGCTCTCAATGCTTACAATTCTAAACCCAATTTTTTGATTCACATTTGGAGGACCGTTTTTTTCCGATTGGAGCCCAAGTCTCTTTATCAGCATCGCGGACGCGAAAAAAAAGGAGGTTAGATCGGGGCGTTCTGCCCACAGCCTCGTCCCAGTGCACTCTTAGATGAGATAAGTCGGGGACCGTAGATGATAACGAGGGATGATAACCAGGGCCAAGGAAGGCTGACTCACGCGGGTTGCCCTCTTTTTCATTTATACTTGCCATGGCCAATCGGAACGAAGGAACGCCGTTTAAACGGGACTGTTTTTTGTTACCATCCATGGATGCATTTTTTCCAGACCCCAGGACATAACAGGTTCTCTATAAAACGCATCGTACTTATGCAACGGAAAAAAGGATAATAATAAAAGAATACTGCGAAACAAAATAAGCAAGAGGAGTCCTAGCGCGCGCAGGACGGCTTGAATCGAACTACGTGGACTACTTTGGGTTGTGGCTGGCGGCGTCCTGAAGGTCGGGCTCCGTCCTGGACCACCTCGTAGTTCCAGTCCCCAAGGGGCCGAATGACCTTGTGCGGTCTGAATTAGCGTCTTAACAGTTCCTCACTGAGGCCGCGGCTACGAATGGGCCTCCACACCCACACACTGTCTCCGGGCTTGCACTCCACGTCGCGGCGACGAAGGTTGTACCAAGCAGCG